GTTGTGGATTCACGTATGTAGCCTATGGCACCACTGTTATGCATTTTGTTAGAACATTAGTTACCATGAGGTGAGAGTGTCCTGGGTCAGTTTGAGCCTAGTCCTATGGTATGTAAAAAGGTTATTTATATTAAATGTATCTTGAAGGGCCTTCCAAAGGTCAAGAAGATTTCTGCCTAGATAGAACATCAGCATACCCTCCATTGTGATTGCAGGGATGAAGCATTGTAATTAACAGTAGGTGGTCAGGGCAAAAGGGAGCAGTTGGGGTACTTTTGGGAAATCTTACCACATATTCAAGATGTATGAAAGAGCTATGTAATTCTTTTGTAGTAGCATATCAGGGAGTCAGAGGGGGGTTGCTTCCCAGCAGGGCTACCCAGTCTCCGGAGCATACAGTAAGTGGCCTTGCCAACATATTGAGTTGACTCAAGCTTTGCTCATAGGTCGGGGGGAGTACAACAACAGCCTTGCCAACATGCTGAGCCGACCAAGGCTGTGCTCAAAGGTTGAAAGCTCAAACAGATCCTGGGGCCCCACTGGGTTGGACTCCTCCACAAAAGCATATGAACACAGTGATTTTCAAGCCACAGCATCTGGAACTCAAACCATGGATTAGGCCATGTGGGAATCCAACCTCCTTAACTTCCATGACACCTGATGGCCCTCAACTACCTACAAGTTTCTATAGTCACTGTTTTGGAATGGATAGAAGCATATCCCATGCAGACTGAGAAGGCTTCAGAAGTGGCTAGTCCTCTTTAAAGAAATCATTCCATGATTCAGATGATCGAGCAGCCTTAGAGTGATAGTGGAACTACATCAATCTGTCATTTGACTTAACCAGTATCTAAACGTTGTTTATCACATGGAAATTTCATTCTTCATGGAGACTTCAATAGAGAGGAAAAACAACATTGCGTGTGCTCTGAAAAGGAGCATTGCCATAAAAGGTCATGGAAAGAAATTTAACCTGGAATGGGGTGCTATGCATTACCCCGTTATGCATTAGGGTCACTCTTTGAAGTGGACTTCTTTTAAGCCCTTGTAAAATTTTATGTGAGAAGTCATTCCAGGTTTCCCTGCAACTGGAGATCAAGTGATGCCTTAGCACTGGCAAATATGTTAAAATTTGCAGAGTATACTAACTTCATGGGTTTGCCTCTAACAGGTCCGCTTGTCCCACTGATGTCTGAATCCTATCCACCAGGGAGACCAAGTTCTCTTTAAGACTTTGAGAGAAGAAGGACCCAAACAGCAGATTGCTTAGAGTGGATGGGCCATTTCAAGTACTGAGGATACTCCTATATCAGTCAAGTTGGCTGGAGTGTAACTGTGGGCACATTATACCCAAGTCAAGACAACCTCACTTGCATAAACCACAAAATCTCCACAGGACTGAACACAGATTTGTGAGCTTCATGAAGACCTGAAAATTTTTTTAAACATGTCAAAAGATGCTAAGTACTGCATAACCATCTGACATTCTGTAAAACTGAACTCTCCCATTAAAACTTCACATGGCATGTAGAGAAAATTCTTTCATTAGAATCTCAGAATCTACAGCCTATGGAGCTACTCATTGCCTGGTCTGTCACCTGCACCACTTTCACTATGTGATGACAGAGATCCCTATTTTTACATTCTATAACTTTCTCAGTATTCCCAATGTTTGGTTTAGAAGTTCAGAATCATCAGTGGAATAGCATACCAACTCTGAGTGTCCTATCTTTCAAATGAGATTCAAAAGCCTTCAAGTCTTTGCTAAGCTTATGCAGTAGCAAAAATTACACACCATTGCTTATTGTATGTATGTTTGCATTTGCTTTTTGTTTGTTTTAGTTTTTATTACAGGGCACATGTTCTCCAGAGAGATAGAGAGAATGAGGGAAAGTGAGAAATAACCTCCATGGAGGATGGCCCCTATTCTGATTTGGGGCATACAGGCATTAAATGCCCAGCATGGCTTACAAGCCCTAGTCTGGGACTCAAACTGTGCAGCAGGACATGTGGAATCCAGCTCTTTAAACTCCACGTCACCTGCTGGTCAACACCATTGACATTCTGGGGTTGGGGGGACTTGCTAGTACACACAAGGACCCCAAGACAAAACAGGAGATAGACACTTCATTGAGAATTTGTCAGGATGTCACTGATCCACAGGATAACAAATAGCTGCCCTTTGAATGTACTCCTCAGATAGTCTTATGAGATATGTCCTGGATTGTTTCATATTCATCTGTGGTCAAGCAAATGTACCCTGGGCAATAATTGCCGAGGAATTAGACAAATCTAGGACAACTGGGAATTCTCACCACATGTTTTCCAATCAAAGGAACTGTGCACTGGATAAGTGCTCATAAGCTGTTCTTCCATGTTACTCAGAATGTGCTCAGTGGTATACCAGATGGAGACAGTTATTTCCTGGATTATCCTCCCTCTGTTTCTGGGTATGTTGGCATATCAACTTGTAGTGAGAACTCTATCAAAACATTAAGTGTCATTGCTAATGCATCTGCTGTGGCTCTTGCCAGATTATAGGCATCCTCAAATTCCCTTGTTCACGTTTTCTTGGTAACTACATTGCCTTAGATTATGGGCACACTGAGCTGTGTGGAGTTGCCATGGCTGCCAATGTCACTTCTTGTACATATCTCAATTCTTCTCCCAGAGTAGAAATGACACCCTGTGTTTATGTATTACAAGACAATGTTAAACTAAACTATTTTGGCTTAAAACAGCTGCTGTACTCTTACATTTGGGTTCCTGTAGACAAGTCACAACCTGACTTGGAGGTCTGTTTCCTTAACAAGTTGCTAAGTTATAGCTAAGCACAGTAGCTACACTTCAGTCTTTCACAGAAAGCCCATCCTTTAGGCTCTGTTCATGTAGGCTAACAACAAGCTATATGCAATCCAGTGATCTCTCTACCTCATCCCCACTGCAGTTTTTTAGATATCAATTTCCCTTTTCTGCACATTAGTATCACTCACCCAAAAGACTACTAGGAGTTTCTTGAAAGCCATTCTGGCCCTGATTGATTTGAATCACTCGGTCACTTTAACACTGTTACGCTTTAGTTTATCTAAAAAATGCTACTCTCCAACTGTATTATGAAGACGAACACACCATCCAACCATCATAGGTTGTGTTATCAGAAAAGTTGTGATGCAATTTTCATAAAAATCATAAAAAGAATATATTGTGACTTTTCTGACGACCCAATAAATTCTATGCAAATAGTGTCTTTTCCAAAAGTAAAAAAGATGCCCATAGAATTTTTATGAAATACTAAAATCCTCTAATAGTAAAACAATGTTGAAAAGCAACAAAGTTAGAGGACTCACACATCCCAATTTCAAACTACATCACAAACCATCAGTAGTCTCAGCAGTGTGCTACTGCCATGAGAGTGCACATCTCACAGGTCCCTGGGAAAGATGGGGGACGTGAAACATGCCCATGCCCTCATGATCTGGTGATTCTCAGTAAGGGTAACAAGCTATTTAACAGAGAAAGCATAGCCTCCTTGATATATCATTTTGAGACAGCTGGATAAAAATGCACAAATGCATACAGTTGAGCCCCATGTGGATTTGCAATACACAAAATTTATATTTGGTGTCCCAGTTTCCTGGCAGAGGGCTCCTAAAACCCTCAGCTTCCAAGTGGGAAATGTCTCTTTGATTGCTAATGAGATGAATAATGGCTGAGTACTAAGGGTGGGGGTGCTTGCCAGGGAACTTGCCTTGTGATGAGAAAGTTGGCACTTTTAGCCCAACCCCATGACCTGTGGAGGAGAGATATCCTGAAGGTTGAGTTAGTCACCAGTGCCTAATGATTGAATCAATCAAATGTCACGATAAAGTCTCCCTCCATACAAACCCAAAAAAACAGGACTGGAGAGATTTCCACACTGATGAACGTATGACCTGTGGAAGGTGATCACCCAGATGGCATGGAAGCTGTGTGCTTAGTCTTATACCTGTGCACATGCAGCTCTTCCATCTGGCTGTTCCTGAGGTGCATCCTTTTAAAAACGGATGTAAGTGATTCACTGAGTTCTGTGAGCTGTTCTAACAAAGGGGGTTAAAGGAACTATAACGTAGGGACCTACTCTAAGGGGATAGGCATCTGAAGTAGGGGCAGTCTGGTGGGTCTGAGCCCTTACCCTGTGGGGCCTGTGCTGACTTTGGGAGAATGTGCACATGAAGGCTGAACTGTGAGCCAGAGATTTTATCAATCCTATAATTGGAGTATGTTTAGCAACCCAACAGTTTCTTAGTCTCAGGTCTCCATAAAAGACAATTAGAAAAAGTCAAAGCAGGAGAAGAATGGGAAGAGTATGGTGTTGTGGAACCCAGGAACAAGAAAATGGTTGTTAGCAGAAAATATCACAAATATGAAAAACAGAATGAAAAGCCATGATTTTACAAAAAATCCCCTAAAATATTAAAAAACTTGGACTAGCATTGTACTGTGAGGTGGCTTCAGGAAATTTGTGGGCTAATGGAAGTAAAATATGAATGTATTTTGGTGCAAAAATAATTTTGAAATTGATGCATAGTTTTTCATGATAATGCTTTCCAAGAACTTTTTGATGACCCTCTATAGAACGAAGGCAGAATCTTTATTCCAAGCAATTAAATGAAAGATTGAAAAAGGCAGGTAATAGGTACTTTTCAGTCAAGGATAAAACTGATATGGCCTTATTTTCTTCTGTGTTTTTATGCTTTCCATAAATATCCATAAAAAAGCATTATTTGATCATTTTAAAAAAATAGGTAACTTGGGTACTGTAATAACCAAGCATCATTGTTAAATTTAGAGCCTTTTCATAAAAGTAGTAAATTTTCTTAGTGAGATTTATCATTCAGTTTTTTAAAATGGTGGTTACATATTAGTGAGTGGTAGTTACATGTAAGTAGTTGTACATCACTGAAACCACAAGCTTTTCCAGTCCCTACTGCACGTAAGACATTGCCTCTTATTTTCCTTAGGTTCTACACATTTTGGATCCAGTTTCCTGCCCAGAAAACTGTCCTGATAATCCATTTGCTGAGTCATCTCCAACCACCTTACTTGCTACAAAGAAAAATATTGGACGATTTCATCCCTATACTAGACATGAAAATATAACTTTCAATTGCTGCAATCACTGCCAGGGAGAACTTATTGCACTTTAACATTTAATATGTTGGAGGCATACTACAGGTACTGTCTTATTACTCAAGGGTCATTACTTGGGAGCTGGGCTCTTATAATGCTAGAAGTACTATCACTTTCTATTTACAGATTATATATCCCCAAAGATATTTCATATGCTGGACTCCAGATTACTCTTTCTTAATAAATATCTCAGTGTAAGAAAAGAATAAAACTATGTAGATATAATTAAAATAGAGAATACTTTCCAGATAATACATGATACTTTTTTTAAAGCTCTCCAAAAGAAAAGGATTTCTGGAACTTTCTTTTAAGCCCTAAATTTTTATTTATTTTGCTGGATATTTGATATGAACATGTTTGTTTTTAAGGTGCTAATGAAAGAATAGGCAAACTACAACTATAAATGAAATGTGGCCATACCCATTCATTTCCTGTCTGAGCTATTTCTGTTCTTCAAGCAGAGTGGAATAGATGCTGATGGGCTTGTATGGCTAGCTAAGCCTAAAGTATTTACTATCCAGTCCTTTATAGAAAAAGTTTTCTGACTGCTATGCTAAAGTAGTAATACCTGGGGAAGTGAAAGGGGTTCCACTCCCTTTATGGTCATTTTGGGGGCTGCAGAGTAGACTTACAGAAATACTGTGGGAGAAGGGGCTATTATTTTTTAAATTAATGTGATATCTCAGAAAAATAAAACATTTGGAAACTAAATTGACATGTACTTCATTAAAATGTGTACTCTTGTTGGTTTTATGGAGGTGATTCCATATTCTGAATGGACACAACCTGATATATATATAAAAGAAACAGAAACTTAACCATGACTTATTTTTGCAAGTGTAACATAGTAATATTCAACTTTATTTAATATGGTCGAGAAAGTGGACCCTAGAATATTGTGTAAACTTAAAAATGCAATCCATCAATTAATATATATTAAGTGATATATATTATTGTATATTTATGGTGAATTATCATAAAATGCCTTTTCTTTGGCCTTTAAAAGTGTTCAAAAAAGTATCAAATTGTACAAATTACCTGTACATGTGCCTATCAATAGAGAAATCTTCAAAAGATATATCTAGTTAAATAGTGTATTTTAATGTCAACCAAATGATTGTTTTTATCTTACTCATCTGAGTTATATTTATAGTTTGACATGGCAATAAATTTCTCTATTGTGAGTGTTCCTCCACCAGGATGATGTGTTTTGGTTGAATCTTTGTCTATTATTTATAATTGATCCTTCAGTCTTTTCCTTTAGATTTACTTAACTCCCAACTCTTAGAATAAAATGGGAAAAACTTACTGATGTTGGATCTTGCCGTGATTTCTTGGATATAACATCAGAAGCACAAGCAACAAAAGAGGATCAATTGAACTTCATCAAAATGTATAGCTCTTGTGCATCAAAAGACACAGTGGAACGACAACCCAGAGAGTGACAGAAAAGATCTGCCAATCACATATCTGATAAGGGTGTAATACATCTGATAAGGGTTTAATGAGTAGAATGTGTAAAGAACTCTCACAACTCACCAACCAAACAAAATAAATAAATAAATACAATTCAGTAAAATCAGACAAAAGATTTCTTCAAAAAAAGATAATACAAATGGGCCATACACATGTCAAAAGATGCTCAACATTAGTACTCATGAGGGGAAGGCAAATCAATACCTCTTGATCTTCCCTAGGATAGCTACTATCAAAAAGCACAATAGTTCCAGCCACAGTGGTGCAGCCAGAAGGACACTGCTATGTGATGGCCAGGGCCTCATGGGAGATCCAGGTTCATTTCCCAGCCCAACCTAAAGACAAGTCTAACACAGTGGCATGTATCAGTGGACCTGGCTGGCTCAGGAGGCTGGATCAAGAAGAATCATTATATGGAAAGATCCTGTCAGAAATGACTTACTGTCCTTCCCATGCTCACTTGCTTCTCTTAAAATATTATTGTTAAATAAGCAAATGTTGGCAAGAAGGTGGAAAAAGTGGAATCCTCATGAGAATATAAAATGATGCAGGGGCTATTAAAGACCATATGTAAGTTCCTCCACATAATTAAATATCCATTACTGAAAAGTCTAGCATTCTATCAGGGATATTCCTGAACAATGTGAGAACAGAGACTAGAATAGATATCTGTAAACCATTGTTCATAGCAGCATCATTCACAATAGCCAAAAGGTGGATGTTGCCTGAGTGTCCATGGATAGAAGAATGGATAAACAAAACATAGTACATACATGCAAAGGAATATTGGTCATCCTTAAAAAGGAATTGCAGATTTTTATAATATTCTACAATGTAGATAAACCTTCGAAATGCTAAGTGAAATGACACAAAAGGACAAATGCCGAATGTTCCCACTTACATGAGTTACATAGAAGAGTCAAATTCAGAGATGGTAGAGTGGTAGTTACCAGGAGTGGAGAGAGCGCAGACTAGAAAGCTTTGTTTAATGAAAATGGGTTCAGTTTCAGACAAAATAGTAAATTTTACGTATAATTTACTTATACCTCCCCACACACTCAACTTGAAAAAAACTTATGTACACTCTTGTAACTGAAAATTAGGGGCACACTTCTGCAACTGTTAGACTCAGAGTGTCAACAATGATAAAGATCAGTTAGTGAACTACATTTAAAAAGAAAGAGCTCAAATCAATAACCTAACATTACACCATAAGAAACTAGAAGAAACTAAATCCCAAGCCAGCAGCAAGAAGGAAATTAAGATCAGAATGGAAAGGGCCCGATGGTACAGCAAGAACACAGCTTGACTCAGATAGGAAGGTCCCAGCTTGCTTCCTGAGATCTCCCTGTTCTATCAGGTGTGCACTTTCACATGCCTGTGATCATGGCAGCCTGAGGCTGGGAGGATATCAAGGTGTAAGAACCCTGTTGGCAGTATCTCTCTCTGCTCTCTCTTACAGAAAAAAAATAAAGTTTCCAAAGGAAAAATAGAATGGGTATAAGCAAAATAGAGCATATGGGCCAGTTCCACTGTGCAGCAGTAACACGTTGCTCAAGAGAAGCTGATTCCACATGGTGACCATGATGATGAGAATCCCTGGCTGGTTTAACCAGAAACATGCAGCAAGTATTCAAGATCCAGTGGGCTGGAAGACTGGAGGAAAGGGACTGAGGTGTGATCAGACCTTGGGGAGGCTTCTCTATGCCCTCCAAGGACAAGACACTGCGAACCCACTGATGTTCCTTATTGCAGGGCATTGCTTCCTCCTGAGTCTGTACATACCCTTCCCTCTCCTATGTGTTGTACACATCCCTACAGTACTTCTCAATCAAGTAAATCTTAGAGATTACAAGTTCTCCTAGTAGTAGAAGCACAGCTCTCATCAGAGTAAGGATCCCTTTGCTGATGGTCATAGCCTCTAAATGATATTAAACAAAACAAGAAAAGAGAAGCAGACAGTCTTTGCAGGAAGTGAGCTACACTCTCAGAGCTCCAGCTTGGTGATTCTGCCTAAAGACACTCCTCAGTCCACATGATGAGGTCAGCCAAAATGACCTCAGAAGGCCACAGTCCTCTCCTATGAGGACTCAGAGACAAAGTTTACAACTGCAAAGGCTGCTGAGATATAAAGGGAGAGTCAACAAATAGAAGTTCTGAAACCTGCCCATGAACTGAGACAGTAGCCTTCATTATCCCTGCACCACATATAATCAGGGAACACTGTTTAGCAGCCTAGAAAATGGCCACAAGGTGAAGGCTAATGGACCAATCAGTAATTTCATCCACTGTTAATCACAGAGAAGGTGGAACATAGAGTTTGTGTACAGCCAAGATAACAGCAGGTTATTGAAAATATCAAGGTAATATAAGGGGAAATAAGTCATTGAACTTAAAACTGAGCTATAGAAATTATACTATCATGAGTAAAGAGAAAAAAATGAAAAAACGAAGTTTGCCTCTGCAGTTTTTGTAGATGCTATCAAATAGTCTACAATGCATGTACGCAATTTGTCTCTTAAAGAGAGAAAGTAGAGAAAGGGATGGAAAAAAATTATGAAAACAGAATAGCAAGAATGATAGAGGTAAACATTACATGTGGTTCTTATGTACTAAAAATAGCAACTCTAAGAAAATAAGAGCATTGCATTGATTGGATTACAATGAGCATGGTGTTTGCATACGGAAGGAAATTTCTCACAGTTGCAGGTGTGTGCTCATGCACAGCTATCTGATGCTAGTGGATGGTGAGGATAAGATACAAGCACACTGCTGTGACAGAGTCCATAGAGATGGGCTAAGATTACATTAGTAAACCCTCAAATAATGGGAGGAAACTCGTGAAATCCAACTGTCACCTGCTGTTGGCCATAGGCAGTTCAGAGTGACCAACCACCCAAGGGAGGCACAGAAGGTTTCTCTCTCAGTTCCCATGTGTCTAGAGCACTGTGTGAGCACTGTTGGTGTCATCCCATGATGAGGGACGCTCCACGGCCTGCTTTGTTTCTCTGAGCTTAGAACATCTCATTACTGTTGTCCCTGGCTCACACCCAGGGGAAGAAGGTGCCCATCATTCAAATCTGTTCCCCCTACTGACTGTCCCAGTCCATCCTGTACCCTGAATCTGGCTCTTCAGCTGCAAGGGGTGGAGCTAGGAAAGGTCTGGTCTGGGACTCTCCAGGGCCCAGGTTTCCCTAGGCACAAGGAAGAAGACTGACATTCAATCAGTGGTTGAAGAGGAGAATGGAAGAGAAGGGATTGTGGCATGATTATCCTCCCTGGGGGATGATTTCTTACTTTCCCTCTCTCTGTCTCTCTCTGGTAAGCACATGCGCCCTATTGCAAAAATATATTTTAAAAAAAAAGAAAAAAGAAAAAAAAAGAAAGAAAAGGAAAAAAAAAAATGAGCCAAGAGCTGATGTTTCCATTATTGGCTGGAAAACTCTGAGTCCCACTTTTCATGGTTTTTATCTGGAAATGCCAGTTCAATAATAGAGGCAATAATAACTTGATTACAAAGCTGACAGTAAAGAGTGACAGTATGTGGATATTTTGGGATGCATTCTGCACACGCAGGCCTTGTTAAGGGTTAGGTTTAAGTTCATTAAGTAATTTCAGTGG